ACTGAGTTTCAGCAACAATATGTCCTAACAGCCACAACCATCCTGGAGGAGGAACAATGGCTTCTTTCAGGGGTGCCCACACAATTTTGTGAACTTAGATGTTCACAAATTTTTTTTTTAAATATTTATTTTTTTAGGTGTAGATGGACACAACGCCTTTATTTATTTTTATTTTTTTAAAGAGAGAATTTTTTAATATTTATTTTTTATTTTATTTTTTAAAGAGTGAAAGAGAGAGAGAATTTTAATATTTAGTTTTTAGTTTTCGGCGGACACAACATCCTTGTTTGTATGTGGTGCTGAGGATCTAACTCGGGCCGCACACATGCCAGGCGAGCGTGCTACCACTTGAGCCACATCCCCAGCCCCACAAATTTTGTTTTCATAAATCCTGTTATTCTTTCATTATGAAAGGATGCATTTAACCAAACAAAACTGTCCTCCTTCAGTTCTTCACTCATGCATGTGGCATCCTGGAGGACATTCAGCCATAGCTTATGACAGGTTGAAATGATATACGTGGGATTAGGATTGTGGCTCAGTGGTAGAGCGCTTGCCTCCCATGTGTGAGGCATTGGGTTCAATCCTCAGCACCCCATAAAAAGTATATAATTCGGGCTGGGGATGTGGCTCAAGCGGTAACGTGCTTGCCTGGCATGCGTGCAGCCCTGGGTTTGATCCTCAGCACTATGTACAAATAAAGATGTTGTGTCCGCCGAAAACTAAAAAATAAATATTAAAAAAATTCTCTCTCTCTCTCTCTAAAAAAAAAAAAAGTAAATAAATCAAATAAAGGTATTGTCTACAAAAAAAAAAAAAAAAAAGATATACAAGGGGCTGTGGTCTTGGAGATTCAGGGCTCATTAACCCACTGGGTTTCACATAGTTTACCTTAACTCCTCAGGAAAATTTTAATAGACACCTTCACGCTATTCCCAACACCTGCATCCCCTAGTCCCTCAAACCACTCCACCTGCTCCTGTTGACATTTCCCCTTACTCATGCATAGGAAGTGGGAGCTCTTAGGGAAAATCCCTCTCCTGGTACCCCGACCTGGAGTACCTCCCTTTCCTACTCCCACCAGGTGCCTGCAGGATGGGGACAGTGCCTTCTGCTTCCTGTACCCTTCTGCTAGTCTGGATGTCAAATGTTGCCCAAGGCCCATGTTAAAGGTTTGGTCCCTAGGACAGTATTATTGGGAGATGGTGGAACCTTAAGGAAGTGGGGCCTAGCAAGAGGTTCTTAGGTCATTGGGGGTAGGCTGTCAAAAGGGACCCTGGGACTCTGACCCCTTCTTTGTTCTTTTCTTTCCTGGCTAAGGAGGTGACAGTGACACCTGTAGTCACAGCTTCTCAACAGGGCTGAGGCAAGAGGACCAAGAAGTTGAACCCAGGATCCAAGGCCAGCCCAGGCAACATCATCTCAAAAAGTAAATAAACTAATAAAGATAAGTTTTTAAAAGTTTAAAAAAGGAAAACAGGATGGATGAGACCCCAATATGTTAAATCTAGGCACCGAAGACCTTGGACAGGCCCATGTCCTTAGTATACAGAAACGGCAGACAAGTGTCCCAGGTGATAAGCACAGTTCTTGTCACCCTGTGCCACCCCAATGTGGCCCCATGCATCCTTTGTCCTGAGGATGTAGATAAAAGCAGCAGCTGCTCTGCAGGTGGATGGGGAAGCCACTGCTGCCAGCCAGATACACCTGCCCAAGTCTGACTTGAAGCCAGTACCATACTCCTCAGAACCCCACAGCAGGACCACCAAGCCTCTCAGATTCAGGACACGCAGATCACAATGGCAGGCATGGGTTTATTACGAGGGATAGGAAAAGGGAAAAGGGGATACTCTGAAGGGAGACAGTGGGTACTTTCAGACAGAAGGATGGCACATCCTTGTGCCCTTTAATTTTATTGGGGGTTCCAGAGAAGTTTCCAGAGTCTGCCCAGGACTACCTTTTGACTGACAACAGGATGACATCAGACTTTCAAGTCTCCACTGCTATGACAACTCTAGGTTACTTTGGCCCATGCTGACTGGTTCTAATTGGAATCCGTTCTTACAAATTTTATGTTAGTAGGGGCTTATCCTTATCGTCTGAGTTCTGGGATCTCATCCGTGTAAATTTAACAGATGAGATTACCAGGGTAACTGTGTTCTTCTTATTTGGGTCTGCATTTCTCCTGCACATAAGAACCTGCTTGCTGAGGAATATAATATATCCTGTTAATTTAAGCCAGGCAGGGCTGCAGGTAAATTGCTTTTAACAAGAAAGCATGAGGGCTGGGGATGTGGCTCAAGCGGTAACGTGCTCGCCTGGCATGCATGCGGCCCGGGTTCGATCCTCAGCACCACATACAAACAAAGATGTTGTGTCCGCCGAAAACTAAGAAATAAATATTAAAAAAAAAGAAAGAAAGAAAGAAGAAGAAGAAAGCATGAGCTGGGCACGGTGGCACACACCTGTAATCCCAGCAGCTCAGGAGGCTGAAGCAGGAGGATTGGGAGTTCAAAGCCAGCCTCAGCAAAAGTGAGGCGCTAAGCAACTCACTCACACCCTGTCTCTAAATAAAATACAAAATAGGGCTGGGGATGTGGCTCAGTAGTCAAGTGCCCCCAAGTTCAACCCCTGGCACTCCCCAAAAATAAAGGAGGAAAAAAAAGCATGTGGGTCAGCACAGGTACAGTGGGCCCAGAGACAGTGAGAAGTAAGGTAAGTTACAGCATGGGAACTGCATGGACACCTCAAGGAGAGAATGGTGTGGTGCTCAGAGGGTTAGCGGTTTTAAGGAATTTGAATCCCTCTGTTTTTGTCTTAATTTCCTGTCCTTTTAATTGTTTCACTACTCTTTGAATAGTTCTCAGCAAGTTTTCTTTGTAAGGGTCCTGATGTTTTCATTCACAGAGTGATTGGGGGTTGTGACATAGTTTAGGTGATAAGGGAGGGCCTAGGCCATCTGGCAGGCTATGATTTGATGTTGAGTTATGCTCAGGGGATTAATTATGGCTGAGGAAGGTTTTGACACAGCAGCCCCCATCTTCTAGGTGCTCGCCTGTCAAATAAGGCTCCCTGTCAAATAAGGCTCTCACGGTTTTCAGTCTCCTTTCATTGTCCTTTCCTTGCTTAGCCATTCAAGGCTGACCCAACATTACCACCCAGCACCCATCGGTGCATGTTGACTCATCCTATCTTTCTTCCCTCCTTGCAGTGTGTGTTCATCAGTGGGATGAGACAATGTGGATGTAGCTTAGTGGCAGAGACTTGCGTATCATACATGAAATCCGCCATACTGCAAAAAAAAAACAACAACAAAAAAAACCAAACCCATTGTATGAAGGGTCTCAGGCACTTTGTTGTTGTTTTTCCTTCAGCAAACAAGTAACTATTTACTGTTAGCTATGCCAAGATGTGGTCAGTTACAGGAGGGAGCTGAATGGGACTTGAGATGCTTGTCTGCCAAGACTATCCCAAGTCCTGGGATCAGGAAAGAAATTCGACCTGATAAGGAATGGCAAAGATCACTAAAACTGTCAGATTAACACTGGGTGAGCTGGGAGAGCCGGAGCCAGGATAACCAAAGGAAACAGGGCAGTAGATAACAAAGGAGTAGGGATGAAATGATACTCAACAATTACATGATAAGGAGACTTGGATTTCTCACAAGAAGACAGACTTTTAAAAAGAAATCAGAATGTGTTGTTTATCAGAAACAGATTTAAAAAAAAAAAACATAAAGAAAGGCTAAAATTGGGGCCCAGTCAACTGATCAGAGGGGCCACCAGCTGATTTAGGCTGCTTACCTTACCCTTGTAGCCACAAGGCCCCATTCAGTTGCAGGGACCCAGCAGTGGCTACGGGCTGAAAAGCAGGCAAGGAGTCTGAAGCCTCGAAGCAAAGGAACTGGAGACCAAGCAGACCAAAGCTGCAGCTCGGCTGAGGGAGGAGTAAAGGCCAAGGGAGCTGAGGTTCTGGACTCATGGCAGCTGCTGGCTGAGGTAGAGTCCCAGGAGATGGCCATCCACCAGACCTACTTTTCAGTAGAAGCCTTTGGCTACCCCATCCCTGTCAGAAATGCCCTGGGCCTGCTTTGGTCTGTGGCCTCCTTCACCCCTGTCAACCCCAGCTCAGCTGTCTCTTTGGAGGGTCTCTTGCACAGGTCTCTAGACTCCCCTAACTTCAGCAGGTGGCCACATGGCACTCCTCCCTCAGCCATTCTCGTGCCTCCATTCCACCCCAGTCCTGATTACAACCCTGTCCCACACACCGGGACTGCTGCCCTGGCCTCCCCATCATGGCTTCCTCCGCAGACACTACTCATTCGTGGGGGGAGGGGCTACTTGAGGACTCCCCTCTCACCACAGCTTGCACCCTACTGGATACCCCTCTGCTGTACCCTGCCTCGTTTCTCTCTCCTTCTGGTCCACCTTCCCTTCCCCACTCTCCCCACCCCGTGCCACTCTGCCCCCTCCACACCCTGGGACTCCTGCCCACGGCCTGATCCTCATCTCCGGCGGGGCTTGGAGTACATTCTGTCCCCGAGGCCCGCGGCTAGCGTCGACGCCCACAGCCGCCCTCTAGCTCCCTCCAGGCAGGGCCAGGGTCCCCCGGCTCCTCTCCCGTTGCCTCAAGGATCCGGCTGGGCCCAAGTCCCCGCGGCCAGCAGCGCCCGTGCTAGCGGGCGGCGGGCATTCGCTACCGGCTGGTCAAACCCCGTTTTCTCGGTCCCCAAGCACCAGGTCCCCAAGGCAGAGCATTCACTACTCGGCGACCCGGCGCCCTGCATCAGCGGGAGCCCTCTTCGGTCGGGCGCAGAGCGCCTGCCCCGCGGCTTGTCGTTACGTGTGGCCCTAGACAAACTCCTCCACGTCTCCTAGAGCCCACTCAGTGCCAAGCGCGACCTCCACCCCGCCCCCAGACTCCGGCGCTGGCCAGGCCGCAGCCCACTCCCCTGTGCGCTTGCGCGGAGGCTCAGCGGCGGCGCGCTAGGGCGACTACACATCCCGGCGTGCTCTGCGCCCGGAAGAGGGCACTGCTCTGGCCCCGCCCCGGAAGATAAGGCGACTCGCGGGTGCCGCATTTCCTCTTTTGGCCGCGCTCCGTAGCAGGTAGGTCTGTCTGAGGTGCTGAGGGCTTGGGACCATCCGCCGCCATCCTCCGCGTTGGGGCCCGCCGTGGTACCTGGGAGACTGTTCTGAGAAGGCGCAGGCGCGCGCGACCAGGGATGAGAACACGGGAGGCTGGGATGGGGCGGGACGCGGGGCCAGCGCCTGCTGACCTGATTCCCCCCTAGACCAGCCGTCATGGGCCGAGTGATCCGTGGACAGAGAAAGGGTGCCGGCTCCGTGTTCCGCGCGCACGTGAAACACCGCAAGGGCGCCGCACGTTTGCGCGCAGTGGACTTCGCAGAGCGACACGGCTACATCAAAGGCATCGTGAAGGTGGGGGCGTCTGCCCGGTGGGTGGGGGAGACGGGGCGTCTGCCGAGACCCGCGCTCACCTCACCTCGGCACGCAGGACATTATCCACGACCCGGGCCGCGGCGCGCCCCTCGCCAAGGTCGTCTTCCGGGATCCATACCGGTTTAAAAAGCGGACCGAGCTGTTTATCGCCGCCGAGGGCATCCACACAGGCCAGTTCGTGTACTGCGGAAAGAAGGGTGAGCCCAGCGGCGGGAAGGAAAGTTGGGGCGGAGGGGAGGTGGGGGCTACCTCTGGATCGCCCGCGCCACAAGCCTCCGCGAGGCCCGCCTGGATACGGTATTCCACGGGGTGTCTGGAAAGGTGGGAGCCCAGATGTTGAAGGTGCTCTACGCTTTGGGCGTTTCCAAGAAGCCTGGCTTTGCATTGTCTCTGGCTGTACTGACCCTGGTTCCGCTTCTCCTGGCAGCCCAGCTCAATATTGGCAATGTTCTCCCTGTGGGAACCATGCCTGAGGGTACGATTGTGTGTTGCCTGGAGGAGAAGCCTGGGGACCGGGGCAAGCTGGCCCGAGCCTCCGGTAACTATGCCACGGTCATCTCTCACAATCCTGAGACCAAGAAGACTCGTGTGAAGCTGCCCTCTGGCTCCAAAAAGGTCATTTCCTCGGCCAACAGAGCTGTTGTCGGTGAGTGCCTGGCAGCGGTTGAATGCAGAAGTGGGTGCTCAGGCTGTGAGCTGCCTATGAACTGCCACCTGTTAGCCTTGGGCTTAAGTTTGAGTATGAAATGATTGGAATCTTCATTGCTGTAAAGAGCAGGATGGTGGTACCTACTTCCCTACAGGTTTGGAGCAGATTGAGATTGAACCAGATGGTTCTCTACCTTTGTGTGTGTATGAATGAGGCTTCCTGATTTCTGATATTACATCATTTAGTTAATTCACTTGTTTCTTCAGAGAAAACAGGATCATATACGAGGATTTCCTTAAAGGCATCTACTATTGAGAGGGAGAGAAAGGATTTGGTTCCCAGGTTCTTTGTTTGGCAGAGCTCTGGTGCAGTGCACTTGGTCAGTTAGTTGCCTTGGGGGAATTCAGAGGTTGGGTGACCTACCTTGTGTTTCAGATACAGTGAAGTGGGAGTGCTCTCTTAGGAACTCGAATCTGGTTCACTAGGGTGGAGGCTGGTGGGCTCAGTGTGGTGGCTGTAAAAGTATGGTGGCTCTTGAGTGATGCATATGACAGTACTGAGTGGTTTGCATTGGGAAGGGTTCACTGTCAAGGACCCAGTGGTGAGGAGGTTCTCTGAGGATTCTGGTCTCTCCCAACAGGTGTGGTGGCTGGAGGTGGCCGAATTGACAAACCTATCTTGAAAGCTGGTCGTGCCTACCACAAGTATAAGGCAAAGAGGAACTGCTGGCCTCGTGTACGGGGTGTGGCCATGAATGTAAGTAGCCCAGCAATCAGTTTGTAGGGTATTCAAGGTGCATAACCATGCAGGTGGGTTAGCAAATCCCTTCTAGAGGTGTTTCCTAACTCCTGTGGCAGGGGAATGAATCTTCAGTGGGGGAAGCACTGAGTGGTAGGTTGTAGCCACAGCATTCTTGATCTTGCCCCAACCCTTCTGCAGTGGGGTCACTACTACTCTTACACCATTTCCCTCTACCTGCAGCCTGTGGAACATCCCTTCGGAGGAGGTAACCACCAGCATATTGGCAAACCCTCCACCATCCGCCGAGATGCTCCTGCTGGCCGCAAAGTGGGTCTCATTGCTGCCCGCAGGACTGGGCGACTCCGTGGAACCAAGACCGTGCAGGAAAAAGAGAACTAGGCCTGATGGGCTCAATAAAGTTTGTCCTTTTGCTGTTGGGCTGTGTGCATGTGGTTTCAGAGGGAGGGGTCCCTGCCATGGATCCCCTTGATACAGTGAAGAGGAAGAAACTTTTACCTATGAGACCACTAGTGAGAGACATGGGAGCTTCATGGCTGGAGAGGAGGTACAGGTGTCCGGGGCCAGGAGTTTGATCCGAAAGGAGGGAATCAAGATCATGACATTCTAGGGTGGGTGACTCAGTAGTCAGCCTGTGGTGCTAAGACTCCATTTTACAAAGGAGGAAACAGGTTAGAACCAAATTCTGAGCCTAGTGCTGTGGACCTTACCCTCAGTGTCTTGATGGACTTATAGTAGGTGTGCATACTAGGTTCACCGCTGGTTTTCCCAGTTCCTGGAAGCAGCCCTGTTCTCTAGAATTCAGCAACATGTTCTCCTTCAAATGGTGGTACATTCCTGTTCTCTGAATGTTCTTGTGAAGCTTTTCCTTGTGGGTTCCAACCTAATGGCTCCCTTACCAGAGTTGACGTGGATCTGAGTTGGTCTAACCATCCTTGTGCAGGTTAACAAGAGCAGGCATCCCCCTGCACAAGTAGGATGGGTGGGGAGTGGTCATTGGAAGAGTGCAGGGTTATAAATTTCTTTACCTCTTGGCCGGACCTCCTGCCCTCCAGTTTACCAACTGAGCTACAACCCCAGCCTGGGGCTGGTGTTCTTGATCCCAGGTTTATATGTGACAAAACTGCTGACCCTTTTTTGAGCCGTGATGGGTGTTTGAAGTGTTTCCCAATCTACTTGAGAGCCTGTCCAACTGCCTAGAACCCTAGACTGGACACAAGGAGTTGGCTTGTGGCCCTAACTGCTCTGGTGCAAAGACGGGGAAAAGACCCCAAACTTGCATATATTAATTGTAGATAAAGCCTGATGTTTTCCCTCTGTTAAGGAGAAGGTGCTCCTAAGGAGCCACAGGTTGTAAGCAGCTAACCTAGTTTTTACCAAAACAAATGACCTTCCCATTTGCCCATGCAACAGTGACATGCTGAACAGCGCCAAGTGGGAGCTAGTTGATCCTTTTATGCTGAACCTACTTGTGCAGGACTGGACTGGGTGGAGGAGTCCTACCTCCAAATTCCCTAGATGGTAACTCCATCCCAGCACAGTCTTTGAAGGGTTATGGCTGTAAGCAGGGTCCTTAAATGACAAGACCTTACTGTGCCTGCCAGATGGCTCCTTGTTCCGGTGGTCCGCATCCATTTCTAATGTGATCCTCACCTATCCTGGGCCACCTAGGCAATACCCTGGCAGTTTGGGGATCTGGTCCTGAAACTCATTCACCATGGGGATCCTAGGGTTCTGGCTCACAGAGAGGTGTTCACTGAAGGACTGGGGCGCAGGGGAGGTTAGGGGTATCTTGAAGAGTGACAGCACACAGTTTATGATTGAGCGTAAGCTGCTGCGGCTTTTCTGCTTCCTCCCGGGCAAAGTGGGTTCAGGTCTGGCCCGAGGGACACGCCACCTGGGAGTGCTTGCTCCAGAGCAGTGGTGCTCAAGAGCCCCTGTTTTAATTGGAGGGCATACTGGGTCCCATTTACAGAGAAGTTCAAGGCTGGGGGCTGTAAACAATCTCCTGTCTCAGAAAAGGGTGCTTCCCGTTACTTGACCCGCTGACGGCTTTCACTGCTCACTAGGGAGGATTCATCAGAAAGGAACTACTGCGCCGGGCGTTTGCCTGCCACGCGTCAGGTGCCGGATCCGCTCCCCAGCACCCACCAGCTGAACGGCGAGTCCTTCCCAAGGCTGCGGGGCGGTGCCTGGGGTCCGGCCAGGGGAGGGCTCGGCGTGGCGTCACTTCCGCCCCGCTCTAATTGGCTGGACGCCGAGCAGGGTCCCGCGATGCTGAGGTGAGTGCTTGTCCCTCTGTGCGCGGACCCTGCTGGCGACCTTCAGGGCACGGGTCAGCCCAACCATCGACCACGACTTCTGCCCCGGGGACCCGGACAGGCCCCTTCCCCGACTGACAGCATGCCCTGCCCCGGGGACCCGGACAGGCCCTTTCACCCGCGAGCGTGCTCCGCCCCGGGGACCCGGGAAGGCCTCGTGCTGATCCCCCCATACCTAGTCTCCCCCCTGCAATATTCACCCCGCATCCCTATACTCCCCACCCTGGGGGTCATTCCTTCTGCCCCCACCCCACTCCACTTTGAGAGTCCCTCCTTACAGGGCCCATTCACGCCCCAGGGCTTCTCTGCAGGTCACCCCACAGGTCAGCTGGTGTCCTGGGATACTCTTGGCCCTCTTCCTCCTGGTAATCCGAGGCCCTTCAAGGAGCTTGATTTACTCCTCTGTAAATGCTCCTCCCCATTCCCCCCGGGTCCTTACAGGTACGGCCCCTCGTTTTGCATTTTAGTAGCCATTTCCCAAACCCCTCATTTTATTGGATGTAACTTCTTTTCACCCTGCCCTATTTTCTCTTTGGGCTCTTCAAGGCTTTTCATCAGCCAATTTTTTTTGGGGGGGTGGGGTGGCGGGGGAGCCGGTACCGGGGTTTGAACTCAGGGGCACTCCACTACTGAACTGCAGACCTGTTTTGTGATACAGGGTCTCACTGAGTTGCTTAGCACCTCGCTTTTTGCTGAGGCTGGCTTTGAACTCGCGATCCTCCTGCCTCAGCCTCCTGAGCTGTTGGGATTACAGGCACGCGCCACCGTGCCTGGCTCCAGCCAAATTGATTCTCATTTTTTCAAAAGATCTGAAATCTTTTAATTTTTTCCATGGTCTGTGCTTCCTCTCACCCCACCCCAGGGCCTTATACAAGCTGGACTGAGCCACATCACCAGTGCTGCCCAGCTTTTTTAAAAAAATATTTTTATTTTAGTTTTTGATGGAGCTTTATTTTATTCATTTTTTTAATATGCGGTGCTGAGAATCAAACCCAGTGCCTCACACATTCTAGGCAAGAAGCTCTACTACTGAGCCACAAACCCAGCCCAGCTGCCCAGCTTTTTTGAGACAGGTTCTCACCAAAGTGTCCCGGCTGCCCTTGAACTTAAGATCCTCCTGCTATAGCCTTTTGAGTGCTGGGATTACAGGTGTCTTGTGTTTTGTTTGTTTGTTTTTGGTACCAGGGATTGAACTCAGGGGCATTTCAGCCACTAAGCCACGTCCCCAGCTCTATTTTGTATTTAGAGGCAGGGTCTCACTGAGTTACTTAGTGACTGCTTTTGCTGAGGCTGGCTTTGAACTCAAAATCCTCCTGCCTCAGCCTCCCTAGCTGCTGGGATTTCAGGCATGCAACACCACATCCCACATGTCTTGTGCTTTTAAATATATGTTTTTCCCAAAAATTTTAAATAAAAACATGCATGCAGAATGGATTAACAAACACCAGTATTTTGAATTGCCAGTTCTCATAGTGCCACAATTGTTCAAGCTTTTTTTTTTTTTTTTAAAGAAAACATTGTGGGCTGGGGCTGTAGCTCAGTGGTAGAGCACTTGCCAAGCACATGTGAGGCACTGGGTTCAAACCTCAGCACCACTTAAAAATAAATAAAATAAAGGTATTGTGTCCATCTACAACTAAGAATGTTTAAAAAGAAAGAGGTTTGGGGTTGTGACTCAGCAGTAGAGCACTCGCTTTGCACTTGCAAGACCCTGGGTCCGATCCTCAGCACCATATAAAAATAAATAAGTGAAATAAAGGTATTGTGTCCAAGTATAACTAAAAAATAAATATTTTTTAAAAAATTATTTTAAAAAAAGAAAAAATATTGTAACCCAGGTGCAGTGGTGCATAATTGTAGCCCCAGCAACTCAGAAGGTTGAGGCAGGAGAATTGCAAGTATGAGACCAGCTCAGCAACTGAATTAAATAGTCTCAAAAAATAAAAAGGGCTGGGAATATAGCTCAGTGGTAGAGCTCTACCAAAAAAGAGTTAAACTGTGTTTAGACCCAGTGCTGTAGTCCCACTGTTCTTCAGAGGCACCCATTTTCTGATCAATATACTTCAGCCCGTTTTCTTATATCACTACAAACCTAATGTTGTCTTTCATCTCTTAATAATCTTCATACTGTTGGATGCAGTGATCATGCCTGAAATCCCAGCAAACCCTGAGGCCGAGGCAGGAGGATCCCAAATTCAAGCCAGCCTCAGCAATTTAGCAAGGCTCTACTCAGCGTAGTGAGACCCTGTCTCAAAAGAAAAAATAAAAAGGGCTGAGGATGTGGCTCAGTGGTTAAGCACCCCTGGGTTCAATCCCTGGTACAAAAACAAAACCCTACACACCCATCATACTATGGATAACCCTGTCTGACAGCTTTACTCAATCTTATAACTTTGTACTTCCTCCTTGACATTGATGTGTTTGGTTCTTTTAAGCTGCTTTGAACTTGCCTGTTACCCTGAGGGACATCAAAATTTCTTTCTTATACATAGTCATATAGTAACATTCTTAAGTGCAGTAGCAGGATTTTTTATAGGGCACATACCTGAGAATTGGATTTCCTGAGAGGTTTGCAGCATTTCGGCTGTACCAGGTAGCATCAGACAGATTTCCAGAGCAACTCTACTGGTTAACACTTCTCATGTCCTCAGCATTTGCTATCACAAAGTATTTTATATTTTCCTATCTATGTGGAGAAAAATCTTATTTTACTTTGTGTTTCTGTAATTCATTTTGTTTGGCTTTGTAGAGCTAAGCATGAGTTCTAACACTAAGCAACATCTCCAGCCCTGCTTCTGTGATTTTTAATGACATTGAAATTCTTTTTCAGACATTTATTGGACAGTTTGATTTATTTATGATTTAGCAAGTCATATCCTATGGTCATTCCCTCCCCCAGAACTAGGATTGAACCTAGCAGTGCTCTACCACAAGACTATATCCCTCAATCCCCCTTTTTTTGAGACAGGGTCTCACTAAACTGAGACTGGCCTCAAACTTGTGATCCTCCTGCCTTAGCCTCCCAAATTGCTGGGATTACCCTGCAATACTTTTGTTTTATTTTGTTTTGGCAGTGCTGGATATTGAACCCAGGGCCT